TTCGTGTTCCAAAGCTAAACAAGATAAATATAGACTAAAATAATGAAATTATATTTATCAACATTAACGTATTCAGGTTTTATTTATGTAGAATAGAATAGAATAGAAAAATAATTTTATTCTGGGACAGAGTCCCTTGAGAATAACAAAATAGAACAAAACAAAAAGATTACATCTGGCCAAAATAAAATCAATCGAAAAAAAGAAATAATGTAAAGAAAATATAAGGTAAACATTCTATATACAAAACAAACGAAACTATATACAAAGCAATTAATACTATGACAAGACACTTAAAGATATTTGCACTGATAGATCAGTATACACTCTTAAGAAAATAATAAAGAATTAAAAAATAAAAATATATCAAATTATCTATTAAAATCAGCTCGAATGGTTAGCAACTATCTGACTTTTTTTGGTATAGGAATTGGAATAGAAGGGTTTTGAATGTGAATATGGATGGGGAATGTCGAATTTTGATAGGAAGGGAATTCTTGAAATTGACAGAGCGAACAATAAAGGAATTTTGGAATGAAGCAGATCTGTGAGAAGGCATGTAAAGGTTAGAAGGTCGAGATCTTGTGGACAGGGAATGGACTGAGAATTTGAACTGGAGAAGTTTGTAGGCGTAAGAAGGACGATGGTACGTATTTAGTTTTTGGAGATGGAAGAAAAAAAAATAAAATAAAATAAAGCTGAAAACAGATAAAACTAAGTTCATCTTCATCGGTTCCAGACACCTCGTTAGTTCTCTTCCTTTCTCTCCTCTTCTTTACCTCATAACCAATCCATTTATTTTATGGCGATGACAAAAACCTTGGAGCGATCTTTGACCAGAAACTCTCTTGGAATAACCACATTTCCCAGATTACACGTAAATCCATGATTATCCTTGCACAATTCCGACGATTCCGTGATTCTCTTCCTCAAAAATACATCAAACCACGTCAACAAATTCATTCAAGCAACTCCTATTCCACCACCTACTACTACACATTCAAACTTCCGCAAGCTTGTAAGAATTCTTAGGTTATGTAACTATAATTGCTCACCGACAGCTAATTCATAAGAGCCATTTTATTTGTATTTATTTATTTTTTCTTAATATTTTTGTATATATTTGTATTATTGCTACATGCTAGACTGATGTATATATTTTTTGAACGGTGCTATTATTCTAAGTGGGCTCAAGTCCAAGAATCAATTTTTTTTTATTCATTAATTTTATTTTATTTTAAATAGCGTTATTTAGTAGAACGATAATGTTTTTGTTTTTAAAGAGATTTATTTAGGAGAGGGGGAAGCGCACTAATAATTTTTTTTTTTGTTTTTATTTGAATATATCACCTGCAAGTTCTCATAGTTTCTTTTTTCTTAAAAATAAAAAGTCACAATTTCTACACTAATAACATTTACAAAACTGTAAATAATTTTATACATCTAATTCATATTAAGCATTGTTTTCAGCATTAAAGTTAAGATCTTATTCTCAACGGTACTTAGTTAATAATCTGGTCTAGTCGTATTATATCTTTTTATTTCATTATAATTCAAGCAGTAATGAAGCTGACTTATTTTATAGCGATAGATGGAAGAAAAAAAACATATTTTTCTAGGACAAGGTCACTTTAGAATAACAGGCTTCTAAAAAAATATTATTTACGACAGAATTATTAATAAAATAAGCTATAATAATATTAAGCTTCATAAAGCAATAAAAAAATAAACAGGTGTGTACATTTTTATCGAGAAATATGTAAGAAACAAGAAAAAAATAAAAATAAAAATGATCCGGGATAAATCTTTACTTACTATACAAACTCTGGAAATTATTTACGTTTTTTTTTCTGATAGAATGATTTAAAAATATTTGATATTTTTCTTCTCCTCATAAACGGCCATTTATATATATATATATATATATATATATATATATATATATATATATATATATATATATATTTTGCTCCGTTTGAATTATTGGAATTCGAGATAAGGAAGCAACCATTGGAGGAAAATATTATACCATAAAATATTATATTATAAAATTATTATTATTTATTTCTTATTAAATAATAAGTATTGTTTTGGAGGTGGCCCTGGAGTGGGGATAGATGACAAGAGTAGACATTTGTACCCGTCATCGATCGGACGTGCTCTTCAGCCTTGCCCTTAATACTCAGCCATTCCTAATAAATTATTTAAATGATCGTTTTCTACTTATCTTCTATCTGGTGTTTCATGTCGTCTTGCAAGTTTTTTCATTTAACTGATGAAAAGAAAACTTTTACCTGATTCATCATCATCAAAATGAATATATTGGGTTGGCAAATAAGTCCTTTCGGTTTACAGGTTGAAATAAAACTCAATATATTATTCATTCATTCATTCATTCATGTATGGCACAACATCCCGTCACCGAGACTGGGCCTCCTCCAAGAGCCTCCGCCAGTTGGCTCTGTCTTCTGCTGCAGCTCTCCAGTTCCGCACACCAAGCAGGGTTCTCGCATCATAGGCCACGTTGGACTATGATTATAGACAATATATTATAGACATAAAATTTATTTTAATATAAAATATATTGACCATTATTTAATAGGACTTCGCACTGACTGCATATTGCCATGTTCATATAATGTCTAGAGTTTATTGTTAAAAAACTGATCCAAGTGGTTTTTGATGTCCTCTTCCTTTTGAAATTTCTTTCCATTCATGGAGTTCTGCAGAGACCGGAATGGGAGGTTGTCACTTGGAGCTAGGTCTGGTGAATAGAAATGATGGGGCAAAATGTCCAATCCAAGGCTCAATAATTTATTGCGAGTGATCAACGAGATGTGGGGCCTAGCGTTATCATGGTGGAACACAACACTCTTCCGATCATACATGACTCATAACCAATCATTCAGGATATTCTCCAAATTCGATATTACTATGTCTGTTAGAAAGTTGAATTGTTGCTCTTCAAAACCCAATGAATGTTTTTTTTTTCATTTAATTCCTACATAAGGAATAAATAAACAAAAACTCCTAATACTTTTTTTTTTATCTCCATTTGAAGTTTGCCATCATTGATGTCAACATTTCCTGAATGAAATTTGACAAATTAATTTTGACAGATGCATTCGGTTAAAGCATCATCCCCATAAACAACGCAAATTTTTCTATGAGCTTCTGCAGCGCGCTTACATTTTTAAAAATAATACAACAAAATATGCCTATAATGAATGATATTTTCTTCCATATTCATAGTGCAATAGCAATCACAATACTAAGCTAGTTTCAACAAGAGTTAACAAATATAGTTGTTGACATATTACAAACAGGATAAACAATCCATCTTATGGATTAATTCATCAGATAAGAAGTGTATCATAGTGACATGAAAATTAACTGAAAAACCGAAAGGACTTATTTTCCAACTCAATATATACTAGATGGATCGTGCGAATAATCTGCATTATTAAATGTAATTATAATTGTAATATTTCCGCGAATTGGTTCCTGAATTCACCATGGTATATAATTTTTGGGATATTTTAGTCCAAATTTTCAAAACAGTCATTATCATTTGCTTTTTTGGCGCTATCAATTTCCCTTTCCGACTCTCTAACTCGGCGTCGCGTCAAAATACAATTTTGAATAATAGCTCATTACAAAGAGGATGAAATGCTGAACATTTCGCTTGTTATAGTATGGAGGTCCAATTATTAGTTTCTGAAATATTTTAATCCAAATGAAAAAAACACTTCAATTAGTCGACTCGAGCCGACTTTACCCGAATGTGTGTTTCATATCCGAGCGTGACGGCTTAGTCTCATTCACTAACCATAAAAAAAGTGCAAAGAACGCCTAAAAAAGATTTTACTTCAAAAAGATTTACACTTTCGAAATAATATCGATAGTAAAAACTGTACGATAGATAGTGATTATTGATTATAATTATTATCCTATATATTATTTCTAAAAGGTGTTTTGTTGTCGGTACGCCATAACTTCGTCAATTCTTCATCAAATCCAATGATTGACCACTCATTTTGAAGATACTCTTCTCCTTCACATGTGAAAAATAGTGCTAACCCCCTCCCCTCTCCCTCCCCCCGAAATTTCTTTAAAAGAACTTATTAAGGAAAATAAACTTTCTTTGCGAATAACTCAAAAAGTATACATTTTTTTTCTTGATTGTATCCATGATAATTAGAAACATTACTAAATTGCGTACAAAAAAAAAAATAAAAATCGGACAGTTATTAACAAAGATACAGTCCGTTAGATTTGGTATACTTAATAATGTCTTCCTGTTTAAAGATATTGCATTTAGGAGTAGAATAGTCTACTACAATTTTTTTCATGGTTTATATATTAACTTTATTATTTCTTAAAGACATTTGGTTGTTCTTACATTATATTTTTTTTAATAATTTAGAAAATCTCATGATCGGGTCATTATTTTATCTTTATTACTTTTATCACCTTTTTAGTCAGCGTTTAAAATAGGTTTTAGCAAAATAATTTGTACAAATATTTTTGTCTATTATGTCATATGGAATATTGTAATCGACCAAGGAAAAACTATCAATTCTTCTCTTACGTAATAAATATGAACTACTTATTTCCATACTGTTTTGCTATTTCTTCACTAAACAAAGTTTTCTGCGAATTATTCGCACGGGCCAACTAGTTAATTATTATTATTATTGATTATTAATTAATATCGACAGTAAAAACCATATGATCGATAGTGAATATTGTCGTATATTATTAATTTAAAGGCCATGTTTCCTGTGAACTTCTAGATCAGACAGTGTGAATGAGGAAAATGTGTAAAACCACATAGTTAGTTTCTTGCTCTTTTTTTTCCTGCATTCTAAATGGGACGCATGTTTTAAATAATGTATTTACATATTATATTTCGAGTTCTATTGACAAACAGTCTGTGTCAGTGATATATTCATATTTAACTTAATGGTTTCATCACACTATTTTTTTTTCTGTTCCAGATAGAGGGACTATTTATCGCTGATAAGGAAAAACGAGGTAATTTAATTAATTTTATATCTCTGATTTCCGAGTACCACTTTTCAAAGATTGCCTATTAATGTCACTAGTATTATAAAAAATAAAATATATACACCATCGATATATTTTATATTAATATGAATTTTTAAAAATTGATTTGTGTATTATGAACATATAATTATTTTTCTTATGTTATGGGTATGTTTCGCGGTATTCAGGCATCGTCTTATTTAAATTTCCTGCTTTCTTAAGCAGTATTCAGAATATGGTCCGAATAATAATTTTTTTCGATTAAAATAATTGAGGGATTGTAAAACTAATCCTCAATAATAAATAAATTAAATTAAATATATTATAAATACAGTTGGAGTAGCTCAAGACGTCCACGCCTTATTAGTCGATTTCAAAGCAGCCTATGATTCTGTGGACAGGAGCTGTCTTAGGAAAATCATGACTGAACTGGGAATTCCCGGTAAGTTGGTGAGATTGACAAAGGCATGTAAAAATTACCCCATATGTGGAGTCCTAATACAAGGAGAAGTTTCTGAAACCTTCAAAGTTCGAACGGGCTTAAGGCAGAGAGCTGGACTATCACCGATATTGTTCAACTTTTTTTTTTTTTTTTTTTTTTTTGACTTGATTCTTCAACTCACACCTGTCAGAAGTTCCGACAATCAGCGAGTGTGATGTCAAGATGAAGAGATTGGTCTTGGAATAGGCGTGAGGGAGAGGAGTACCCAGCGGCGTCCTTCCTGTCTTGAGCGTAATATTTCTAGTTAGTGGAGGAGATCCCTCATCCAGCTTCTTTTAAGCCTCCTTCGGGTGCTATCGGGCATGTTAGTTGTGGCCATGCCTCGAATCAATGAGTTTGTATGTCCGTGTAAGTTATTATGAAATCGTTTGTAGTATGTTCGTATGTGGTCGTTAACTGTTGGCATCTGTAAGTCTTTATGTAGAGTAATGTTACTGACGTACCAGGGAGCTTTGGTAATAGTCCTGAAAGTTTTAGATTGAAAAGTCTGTAATTTACGTATGTGAGTCTTTTTGGCTGTCCCATATATCTGTAAAGCGTAGGTCCAAATTGGCTTGAGTAGGTAAGTATATGTATTCAATTTCTGTCTAAGTTTTAATTTCGAATTTCTTACAAGGAGTGAGTACAATAGGCGTAGTCTTAGGTTTAAAGTTCAACTTAAATAAGAGTAACATCGCAGGAAAATGGAGGGGTCCATGTCGGAATGGATCATAAAATTCTTTGACACTCAGATGATCCATTGATGACACGCTACAACAGTGATAAGAGAGGCAGAGCAGATCGGCCTACAAGTAAACGAAGACAAAACAAAATAAATGATAAGAAGCCGTAAACTCCACCCCAATAACAGGATCTGCGTAGAACGAAAATCATTTCCTAGAATAGAAAAACTTAAATTCCTCAGCTCCACTATAACCTCAATGAATGACCAACGGGCAGAAATAGACTAACGCAAATATAGCTTTCTTCTAACTTTCAAAGGTATTAAAATCCGAGAAAATCTCATGTAATCTCAAAAGAAGTGTGTACATGACTGAATCCAGTTCTAATATATGGCTGTGAGACCTGGACACTAACCAGCAACCTAGAAAAGTGTTGAAAGATTTGAGAGGAAAATCCTCCTCACGATAATCGGAGCGATCTGGAATTAGTGTACTAACTAACACACGGAGAAGAAAGACGAAGATCCTTCTATTGGCGTGAAATTTTCGGCTTATTATCACATATTTTGTTTTATCTTCATTTACTTGTAGGTTGATTTGGTCTGTTTTAAAGAAAGTATTCGATTATATTTTTATAAACATATATGTAAATCTTAATCCTTGAATGATTAATTAAGAACATTTCTACTTTCTTCTAACGGGGTTGATAGATCATTGAAGAACAGAAATTTAAGAAGTTTGTGTGTATTTCATGAGTTAAATATGTTCTGGTTTAATAAAGATATTATAGTTCAGAATAATAACTTGAAGAGAAAGTGATTTATTCGTTTTCCATCCCATTTTCATGAATTATTTAGCGTTTTTTGACTGAGTAATATTTGGCGATTTTGGCAAAACGGCTGAGACGTAAAAAGAGGAATCGCAAATCAAAAAAGTGCAAACAGTTGCTATCTTAATTGGCTTTCAGGGCCAGCTTAAATTGTTGCCATAGGGATGAGGCAAACTATGTTTCATAACGTGTTAAATATTTTGTCGCAGCCTTTTACTGTCATCTTTTGGAGGACGATCGATTGAAATTTAAATTGGCCACTCTTGCCCATTGAAGCTATATAATCTCCAAGGACTTATGATTAAGGAAGAACTAAACGAGAAGGAAATTTCCGGGCCTCTGATTATTGCGGTTAAAATAAAAATCTACACTTCACTGACTGTTAATCAAGAGCTGTCCTTTCTAGGACGTCAGTGTTTAATATAGCGTTGCTCAAGTCAAGTCTTATTGGCCTGTAAGTTGTAACGGCTGTCTCGGCTCTCATTATTGCCGTCATAATTTATATATTTTGGAATAAAAATTATTACTTTATTAAAAAACTTAATTAAAACTCTATATTTTCGGCAATGAAAACTTCCAAATATACAAATAATTGGTTTATTTGTTCATTTACATGTTAAGTTGGCGTTTTGGAAAAATTATTGCCAATACCTGACATCCACCTCGAAAAACGGGAGTAATCAAATTTCAGAACCTCTTAGACCTCTATTTCAGGAATTTGTGGCTTCTGTATTTTTCCCTCATATATTTCTCTGCTTTTCTTTAGTCTTGCCGGGAACTGCTACCGAAAAAATGAGTAGCAAAACAGTCTCAAGAACAACGATCTTTCAGTAACGAAATAATTCCTTTGGTATTATGTACCTCTATTCCTCTTAAACTACTTTGATTTATCTAAAATTTTTTTTTTTTACTTTCCTACTGTAACTAGGAAAGAAAAGTATTGCGGTCGGGCCTATAAGTTTCAGAGCCCCCTAAGTGCGAAAAACACATTTTTAGCCAATTCGTCTGTCTGTGCCAAGATTTTCTCGGGGAGTAGTTAACCTATTTAGTTGCTTCTTTTTTTATTTTGTAGGGGTTTTGCTCAATATTTTTGAAGGCCACCTTTTTTCATAACTTTTTGATCAAGTTATCTTTCGAGTCAAGTGGAAAGCAAATGGGTATTTATCAGTTTTCGGTACCTAATTAAATAAACAAAGTTTGCTGACCTGCTGATTGAAAACGCCCTAATTACGAGAATTTTCCTAAATAAAATATTCGTAAGTTACGGAGTTTAAGCCGGATATTAATAATTTGATATAAAGGGGTATGTACCACGGATTACTACTTTTTAGGCTTTTGAAAGATTTCCGCGTTATACCTTTAAAACACATTTTCTTCATCTTGGTCCGTTGACTTTTGAAACCATCTGAGTTTCGAAACCGCCCAATTTTTAAATTAATTTCATCGTAATTGTAACAGAAATTTAAGAATAAAAATTTAAATTAGCCAATTCTCCATGAAATCCTCTTTCGTTCGGCATCTCATTCTTCGAAACCCATTGTTCCTGAGAGACGAAAAAGAGGTCTGTACTACCATATTATATATAGAGTGTCTTAGTTATTAATTGCCAAACTCTGGGAGGTGATCCTACACTATTACAAGACAAAGTTTGTGTTTTTCATAAGGTGGTCACGTCCTTTATTTAATAAGAAAGAATCGCTCAAAAACTGTTCAAGAAAACAGTTTTTGCTAATATAAATTTACTGAGGTCAATGATAAAAGAGACTTCCAGGAGGTCTAATGACGTAAAGCCTACCATTATACCGAATTATTTCACGAATTAAGAATACAGGGATATTAAACTCATATATTGGTACTGTATCTGCAGCATTAAAGTGGCCATATTAGACCTCCCAAAAGTCCCTTTTATCATTGACCTCAGTAAATTTGATCACTATTTTCTCGAAGAAACTTTGATCTACTTTATGACAGTGTACTTAAAATTTAATTATCTAGAACAGTTTTTAAGAAATTCCTTTTTATTCAATAAAAATCGTGACCACAAAAAAACAAAAAACAAATTGGTCTTAACTCCTTTTTAGTTCGGAATCGGCCCACGCATCCAATAGAGTTTTGTTGGAAATTTTGTCTGGAATCACCCTCAAGCACGGTCGGATCTACGGGGACGGGGCTTTGGGGTTGAAATTCCCTCCAAAGTGGTAAAATATAACCATGTTTTATGGAAAAAAATATTAAAAACTTTTCTCTTAAAGTATTATTGTTCGTGTAATTACATTTAAAAGGACTTTAAGAATCACTTAAACACCATTTCATATATGTAGTCAGTTTCTTTCTTTTTTGGCTAAGTAATTATCGTTATTTTTATAAGCCCTCCCTCCCCCAAAATTAAATCTTGGATCCGCTAGTGCCCTCAAGAGTTTGGTCATTAAGAACCGAGACACCCTGTTTAATGTAGATTTTTTATATTATTTTAAATGTTATATCTTAATAATGGTGTAAAGATGGTTGACCGTGATTGTAATATTAGAAGGAGTTGGTCGGATGAAATAAATAAATAAAATTCATTTATTTCATTTTCACTATGTACCTTTTATATTTTTTATCCCTGATAAAGACCTATAAAGTGGGTCGAAACGTCGCCTTAACTAATAGAATACTATTTTAAAACATAATTGTGGATTGATGGTTGACTGTAGTGATTAATTGAAGAGAAGGGTGGTTGAGCTGACCAGTCAAAATAAAAAATAGTAAAAATAAATAATTATATTTATTTTTTATTTTCTGACGTTTCGGCTTGAAGTTCAAGCCTCTTCATCAGGTTCACTTTATCTACTTTATTTTATTTTAAGTTTATTCTCAATCCAAAATCCTTCCTAAAATCCTTAATGCCTCATGCTTTGTCACAAATAAAACCATTCATAAAGACCTTAATGTTCCCTATGCCGCTGATTTAGCCCGAGCCAGATACCTATCATTTCATGTTAAACTCCAGTCC